CCCTTCCAGGTGTGGTGGCTATAATTCCCATCTCCATGAAGGAGTTGGCGGAGGATAATGGGAGTTGTAGTGTGACAGTCCTAGAGGAGGCCAGAATGGTTCAAATAGTGCTTGAAACCAAGCAGAGTTGTTTGGTTTTTCATTTGATATAATGGCTTTGTCAATTTCATTTGATATAATGGCTTTGAATATATATATATTCATTCACTAAATTAGCACAAGTCCCCAGGATTTTTTGAAGTACCTCTTTAAAGCAAGGACTGATGTGTATATACATAATTGGTTATTTTAGCACCAGAAAAGGGGGAAATGTAGCCTTAGATTCCCCCACCCACCTACCTTCAACTTCAATGCAAATAGAGCTGCAGAGAAGTTCCATGAAGTTACATAAACTAATCTCCCTTGTGTGAGCTTTTCCCTAGTGGGCATATATTGAGCTCCCTGAAGAAGGCTGATGTGTTGAAATGTTTGAACACTGGAGACAACTTTTGAGAATTATTTTCTATACACGGACTGACAGCCGTGACTGCTGTGAACTTAAATGTGATAAAAGGGTTTGAGAGATAAGAATGTAGGCACATAGAGTACATTTTGTATAATATGGATGAAAGAAAAGGCTGAAGCTTTGAGATATTGTCGTTTTCTGTTTTTAAAGAGGTGTGTGTGTGTGTGTGTGTGTGTGTGTGTGTGTGTGTGTGTGTGTGTGTGTGTGTGTGTGTGTGTGTGTGTGTGTGTGTGTGTGTGTGTGTTTCCATGTCTTCACTTGTCAATGTTGTCATCGTATTTATATATCCCTAATCTTGCAGCACTTTTTCTTTCTGAGGCACAGAAATGAAGCCTTTTGGTTTTTACTTTTCAGTTCACTTCATTTTGTAATTACATAGGTAAGATGCTTTCTGGGATTTAGGGTAGTGGTGGTTGATATCCATTGTGGTTGATGAGAGGCATAGAAGGCAGGGAAAACAATAGTTATCAAAGCCAGGAGTTACATGATGAACCAAGGGGCAAAAAATGAGTATTCAAAGAGGGAAAGCCATCCACCCATACAGTGACACAGAATCTCCACCTCTGGTAAGGAAGCAGGCAGGAGCATGGTAGCCTGAGTCTCATAGCCAGAGCTCAGACAGTATTTTCCCTAGAAATCAGCTTCCACTGGTCCATCGGTGAACCTAAGTACCTTTCCTTTATAGGAAACTATACCAGAAGCATTGCAAATGAGATTTCAACCTGGGAATTAACATTACAGTAGGACCCCTGTATCCAGAGGACCAGTATCCACCGATTCACTTATCCACAGTCTGAAGATATTAAAAATATTAAAAGAAAAAAAATCTTAAGAAAAAATATTTTCACATGTATTACCAGGCCACTAGAAGGAGCCAGAGACTGTGCTGTGAATACTTGATAGTGAAGAACACATAGCATGGTCTCTGGTAATGCACGTGAAAAAAAAAGGAGCCAGAGACTGTGCTATGAATACTTGATAGTGAAGAACACACAGCATGGTCTCTGGTAATGTACGTGAAAAAAAAATTTTTGGTTTCTCCCCCTTTTACCATGTTATATAGAGTGTTTTTTATTATCCATAGTTTTGAGTACCAATCTCGAACAGATATTGGGTTGTACTGTATGAAAAGTTTTGAGTTAGAGCCAGGGAGGGCCATTCCAAGAAGTCCTAGACCTGGGAGGGCCACATCCACAAACAGCCCCCCCCAACATCCCTTCCGCCCTTTTATTGAAAAGGCCCCCCCTTGTGTCACCTAGTGGCAATTTAAAAACATTTTAAAATACTGGGAGTGGGGGTAAGGGGTGGTGTTGGTTTCAAAGTAGAGCAGCTGTCCTGCCATGCTCGTTAGAGTGCATAAAAGAGCATTCTGAGCGGGGGGATCCCCATTTTTGAGGTATTGAGTGCAGGGGTCTCAAGGGTTTGCAAATGAAAGTATCTAGACGCAGTTCCAAATACAGCTGTACTGATTCCGCGCACACACTCCACACACTTCTTTTAATTCTTTGTAAATACAGTGGTGTCTCGCTTCACGAGGATAATCCGTTCCAGCGAAATTGCTGTAGAGCGAAATCCTCGTCAAGTGAAATAAAAAAACCTATTGAAATGCATTGAAAACCGTTCAATGTGTTCCAGTGGGCTAAATACCTCAGCGTCCAGTGAAGATCCTCCATAGGGTGGCCATTTTCTGCTCCCTGTGCAGCAAAAAATCCATCCTAGAGCACAGCGGGGAGCCATTTTACACAGCGGGCGGCCATTTTGAAACCCAACGATCAGCCGTTTTGATCATCGTAGTGTGAAAAATCGGTTCCCGAAGCAGGAAACCGATCATTGGGAAGCGAAAAACTCCCATTAAAGCATTGTTTTGCGATTGCAAAAACATCATCATGAAGTGGATTCGTCGTTTAATAAGGTAATCATTAAGCAAGGCACCACTGTAATACTTTCAAGAAGGGCCTGTGGACAAAAGTGATCCACTCACAGAAGGTGCTGTACCTAATTTTCAGAGATCTTGTCCTCACCAGCTCGCTCCATTTCTTAGGGTCCCTTCATTTCCAATACAGCATTTCTAGGTAATCAGAAGGAAGTGCTGGAGGAGTAAAGTTCTTCCTGCAAGACCAGTTGCATTTGCCTAAAGGTGGATTGAACACAGGAATTTATAACAAATCTGTTCATTTAAATATCTTTAAAGAAAATCTAGGCAACAGTGCTACTGTTTTAGAATGCAGTACTTAATACTTTCAGAAGCACCACTTGACCAAGTAATGTCAATTGTCGTGAACATAAATGAGTACATAGATGCAAACGTGATTGATCAAGATGCTGAAGATTCATGGTGGAAACCAGAATCCAGATGAATTCCTGCATATAGTGAATCAGGAGTAAGTCCCATGGAATGCAGAGCCATAATGGGAGATCATCTCTAGATAGAAGATGTTCTAAATGGTTTTTAGTTCTGTCTTCATTTATTTGGACTAGCTGTGTAAGAATGAATATTGTTCCCATTTTGACCATAAAGTCATATATTATTTGCCGCCTTGACTTTTTTCCCATTATACTAGTGGAAAAAAGCCCCCTATTTTCTCCTGGCACTGTAACCAGAAGCATGATGTTAAAATTAGCTATGTTATTGTATTTCATACGTTTGCCTATACATGGGGGGAAAAACTAGACAGGCCAACAACCGAGGTATGAAGCTGTCATCAGCTTTCCGGTTATTTTATTCTCTAGCTTCCTTTTCCCTTCTCTCCCCTTCTCTCTCTCTCTTTTATTGGTAGTTTGTAGTACTGGATATAGGTTTGGTTTTAGTACTGTTGATGAGGCATGGTTTATTGTTGCTTGTTATACATTAGAAGAAAATGTTCCAGTCTTCAGACTGAATTTATGTTGTTGTAGGGTTTTTTTAATAGCAAGCCTGATTTCCACGCCTTTTCTTTCCCTCATTTTTTTTCTCTTTGTGACCTTTTTTGATGCTACAAGAGAGTTTCCTTGGGAAACAAGCAGTGACTCCTGCTGTGGCATGTCAAAGACATATTTTGTTTCTTGTCTTCCTGCGCTTTCTCTGACTTCAAAGGTCAACAGATGAGTTTGTGCTGGAAAAAGCACAAAGTGACAGTATCACCAAAGCCGTGTCCTTGCATCTAAATACAGCGCTCAGCATTTTAAAATACAAAGAGAGAAAAAAAGTAAGTGACTAAAGAAGGGCAGAATACTAAAAATAACAAGTTTGTTAAAAAACGAGGTTTGTAAAAATCTGTATAGTATATCATGTAATCAAACACTAAGTCCACCAGAAAAAGAACATTATTGTGAAAATTCCTGCTTTTGAAATACTAAATGATATTGGAAAACTCACTACCTTGCTCTTTAGAACATTACAATACATTTTTTTGTGAAAAAATCATCTTGCGAAATTTCCTATGCATCGGTCTAAAAAAAAAAGTCTTGCAAAGCATCGGTCTCAAAAAAGTCTTGCTAAGTACGGTCATAGAAAAAAAAGTGTTGCGAGGCACCATTGTGATCGCAAAAACCAATCATCTTGCGGGTTTTTCATCCCACGAGGCAATCGTCTAGCGAGGCACCACTGTACCAGGTAAAGTAACCAAGTGAATCAATATGAACTGCTAAGCCAAGTTTTTTGGAAAATTCTAGTGGTTTTGTAGGTGTTCAAAATTTACATTAATTTTTTGTTCTGAGTTATTCACATGCATGTTTATGCATCCACAAGTAGTATCTGAAATCCTGTTGCTTAGCTTAAGGAAAAATTATACTATTCAGTCCATTCCCCCCTGGTAAACACACTACCCCACTATGATTCTTTGGGTGCATTCTGGCATGGTGCACATATCTGTGTCATGCAGAATTGCATCAGCGGCACTTTATTTTCCTGGGAGGAATGGATTAAAAATTATGCTTTGGCTTATGCTAAGCAACAGGGTTTCAGCCAATGGGGGAGAAAGGAATCAGCAGGCTTGATTGCATTTTGGTAACCCCTGGGTACTCCAGTGGGGACTGCCATGACAAGTACTTGAAGTCAAAATACCACTGCTGACCATCAGCCTTGTATGACATAAGTAAGAGAGCACCATATATTATGGGACACATGGTCAACAGTGTAAGGATAGGACAGAAGCCATCTAAGAGGAGTGTCGGTTGAGTGGAGCCCATGAAGGGCATCACCTCAACATACCGTATATGACAGCTTTGGAAGAGCTACTTTTTTAAAAACAGGACTGCAGGAAAAATCAAGAGTTACATTTTGCTTATGATCCTGACAATGATCCGCTCCATCCTCCAGTGTTTGCTATTTTCATTTTGAAGGCAATAGAGATGAAATGCAAGAAGGTATAAGATTGTATCTCAAATTATCTCCATTTTTAAAAAACGATTTACAACCTTACTTCCCTCTGAATGGTCAGAAAGATCCTTATATACCGAAAATTTTGTGGAACATGGAACATGATGATGTCTCATTTTGTATTTTTTGTTTATGCAGGTTGAAGAGGAAAATATAGCTTTTCTGGATCACAGTGAAAGTGATGGAGAATTTGATCCAAGCAGCCTTCCAGACCCTGATAAATTTGAAAATTCTGCCCAAGAGGATGATGCAGAAAGCCATGGGTATGTGTTGTTCTCTCTTTGTTCTTTCTTCTCTTCACTGTCCATTTTACAAAAATCCTAAACATGTGGGAAAATATCAGAAAGATACTTTGATTCTCCACATCTGAACAACCAGTGATCTAGAGTTATTTCAGATTTCTATTATATATATTTCTTAGCTTTCAGTTACTTCGGTTATCATGCTTACATTCATGAGAATATGAAAACAGCAGAATGCAATTTTTGTTCTGTGCTGTTTTATTCTTGAAAAGCTTGAATGGTGCATCTTCACCCCAGTGGTTGCCTCTTTGTCTTTGTTTCTGTTTGGCAACAGCCCTCCATCTGCTATTGATGGTGTCTTACCAAATATTTGGGGGCAGAAGCACATTTCGCACCTTATTTTGAGTGTTTATGTATGTTTCTCTCTTTCTCTCTCCTAACACAATTTTCTGCTTAGGAACAGAACTTGGAAGTGAAAATTCATCAATTGTTATTACCCATTAGAAGTGGGGAGAGTGATCTGTTGCTGCTGATGTTTAACTTAAAACATTTCATTTATTGATTTGATATTATAATTTGCTAACTATATTATTATATTTAAAATACAGTGGTGCCCCGCATGACAACGATAATCCGTTCTGGGAAAATCGCTGTTAAGCGAAATTGTCATGCGAAAAACAATTCCCCGTTGGAATGCATTGAAACCCATTTAATGTGTTCCAATGGGGAAATTACCTTGTTGTCCAGCGAAGATCGCCCATACGAGAAGCCATTTTGCAAGCACCGATCAGCTGTTAAAATAGCTGCCCTGCGAGGCATGGGTCTGGAAACACAGGGCAGCTATTTTAGGAAACTGACAATCAGCTGTAAAGATGGTCGTCTTGCGAATAAGCGATCCATGAAGCATGGACCAAATCGTCATCAAGCGGAATTCCCCCATAGAAATGACTGTTTTGCGAATCACTATAGCGATCACAAAAAGTCACTGTCCTGTGGATTCATTGTACAGCGGGGTCGTCGTCTAGCGAGGTACCACTGTAGTAGGGTTTGCAGAATATGACATGCAGGTTGTTACATTGTCCCTAGAAGCACATTTGTTTCAGGCACCTTGATAATTGCTCTTTTTGTTCACTCAGGAATTGCCTTCTGGCTTCTTACAGATGGACAAAAAATCTCATAATACCTTTGTCAGTTGGTCATAATAGTTTCTACATATGCGATAACTCCACACAGGGCCAGTAGTTTCTCTGACCACTTCCCTATCAGAGCGCTATAGAATCTTTACTTGAAAATATAGCTATAAGAGAAAGTTTTCAGCTCCCCGCCAGCCATATTGTCCTGTGGATCTTTGCCAGGCCTCAGAAGGAGGAATCCAAGAGAACCCCATTGTGGTGCTTCTGTGGTCATTTCAAGAATGTAGTGGAACTCAAAATGAAGTCTTAATGTATCTGGTATATCATACCGCCCAGAGTGGTATGATATACCAGATGGGCGGGATATAAGTCAAATAAATAAATAAATAAATAAAGCAAGCAAGCAAGCAAGCCAGAAAACAATACCTTAAAATAGTTTGTGCCTAAGGGCTGGGAAAATGTGATCCTCCAGATGTTGTTGGAATGCAACACCCATCAGTCCCAGCAAGCATAGCTACTGTGAGGAATGTTGAGAGTTGTAGTCCATTGGCATCTGGGGGGCTACACCTTGTCCACCTTCTTGTATAGTATATAGTTTTCCCATGCAATTATTATGATAAAATTGTTTATGTATTGCTTTTGCAATGCTGAGATTCTGAGACTAAATTTAGCCATAAGTTGCAGTTAGAATACTGTATTTATCCCAAAAAAAAATTGAAAAGATGTACTGTCTGCCTATGGTTGTGGAAAGTCTTGTATGATTTTCAAAAATTGTTCATCTTCTCAGCCCTATTTGGTATCCCCCCCCCCTGCACTGCAGTCATATATTTCAAATTTTCTCACCTGGAGATAGACCTATCTGGAAGGCTTCATGGCCTAGCCTTCTGTTTAAAAAGGTCATTGCCCCAGTGCTTGCTGGGATACCCCCAGGTAACCACATCTAGATGTTTATAGTTGCGGGTCTGTCAGTAGGACAAACCCACACCTATAGACCTATAGATAATTCATTCTAGGAGTTGTAGTCCAAAGAAATCTGAATGGTACATCCCAGTTATTTGCACTGAAATTTGATTACTCTTGTGAGCCATCTTGAGTTTTTGTGAAGGTGGGCAACACATAAATATTTTAAAATGAATAAGTAAATATTCTATGGTTGTTTGGACAAGAGGTGAGGGAGTGAAGGAACCAGAAACACAGCAGAGGGGATAGGAGAAAAAACGAAGCGGAAATAGCTAGAGATGGTTTAAGGACTGAACAGTATAAGCTATTGAAGGACGTTTTAATCTCATGTGCAGTGCAGTGGAGAGGGAAGCAAACCGTGTAGCAATGAATGATGGACAATGAAGAGATTTGGGCAGCTGCAGTTCTGTGGACTGAAGAAGATGAAGTTTAGTGCCTGAAGGAATGGAGAAATAAAGCTTTGGTGACTGAGGCTGCAAGTGGTTAATTTGTGTGTTCATTGTGAGTTGGTATCTTTGCTTTTTAAAAAAAGCAATTGGACTCTCATTTTGAACATAATTGTATAATATTCTGTGTGGGCTTTGTGCATTTAGAATCATTCTTCTGAAAAGCAAATATACTAATAGTTTGTCAGACAGTAAGACAAATACGATGTCAAATACTCATTGTGGCTATAAGCCACCCCCCAGCTTCAGAAGGAGTGACCCTGTGAATATCATGGGATGACATGCCAGGGAAAGGTGTAGGCTGTTGGCCTTATATACAGCTTGTGGACTTCAACTGTCCAGTATGAGAAAGGTAAAGGTAAAGGTTCCCCTTGACATTTAGTCCAGTCGTGTCCGACTCTAGGGGGCGGTGCTCATCCCCGTTTCCAAGCTGTAGAGCCAGCATTTGTCCGAAGACAGTTTCCGTGGTCATGTGGCCAGCGCGACTAGACACGGAACGCCGTTACTTTCCCACCATTGTGGTACCTATTTATCTGCTTGTATTTTTACATGCTTTAGAACTGCTAGGTTGACAGGAGAGTGTAAGAAAGAGGAGGCCTTTAATTGGCTCCAAAACTCTTTTTCTTTGGGTTTTTATGTTCTTATTAGGAGACAGATAGTTAGAGATAGACAAGACAGTAGTTTAATTGCTTCCACATGGATCCTTAGATATGTTAACTAAAGCATCTTCAAGGAAAAAATATTTTCCAACACTTAAATTTCTTTGCACCCACTTTGAAAGCCTCCAAAGGAGCAGCAGATTGCTCCAATCAAATCTCCATTTTCTATGAAAATATGGAAAACATTACTTTTCGGATGCCAGCTAAGGGATTTTGAAATATGTAGTCCAAAAAAGTTTGCATCTCTGATTCTAAGATACCTAAGCAAAATTCATGGAAATATATTTTCCCGATTGCTTCCCACCAGCCTCATCCCACCAGTATCCTATTCCATATTATTTGTGGGAGCAGTTCACAGTCTCTGAGTGCCAGTAATCAGGAAGCTGGGGGAAGGAAAAAGTAAACCAATAGTAAAGTCTTGAGAAGGGGTGTGGTGGCGCTGTGGGCTAAACTGCAGAAGCCTTTGTGTGCTGCAGGGTCAGAAGACCAGTAGTCGTAAGATCGAATCCACGCGATGGAGTGAGTTCCCGTCGCTTTGTCCCAGCTCCTCCCCAACCTAGCAGTTCGAAAGCATGTAAATGCAAGTAGATAAGTAGGTCCCGCCTCGGTGGGAAGGTAAAACGGCGTTCCCTAGTCACGCTGGCCACGTGACCACGGAAACGGGCTTCGGACAAGCGCTGGCTCTACGGCTTGAAAAAGGGATGAGCACCGCCCCCTAGAGGCAGACAAGACTGGACTAAAAATGTCAAGGGGAACCTTTACCTTTGCCTTCAAAGTCTTGAGAGAGCTTTCTGAAAATGTACTTGACCATTTGCGTTGAGTGTTATGTACGTGCACACACATGCAGTTGTACTGCAGTTCACATAATTGAACAACTGAAATTAAGATTGCTGATGCTTCAATATGCTTAATTCTGGTGGATTATACATATGAAATATAAAATATTCTGAGCTGCAGTTTTAGAAGAGGTGACCGTGTTAGTCTCTTGTAGCATATCAAGCCAAAAGAAAAAGCAGCTTAAAGACTATAAATATAGCAGTTATTCTTTAAGGTGCCACACTATTCTAAAACATTATTTTAATGTATGAACATCACAAATGATTTTAAAACTTCCTCAGTAAGCATTTTAATATGATAACCAGACAATATCCATACAAGTTAATAATATGTATCTGTGTCAGAATAGATTCTTAATTTATTAGTAACAGTCATTTTTTGTTTGAAAAAGAGAGCAGCCAGTTGACCTCCATCTGAATTATGTTTATGATTTGCTTTACCTTGGTTAGCTTAGGATAGTGTCATCCAGTCTTTGTAATTCTGTAGCCCATGGACCAATAATGAATCTTACACAATGAATATTTTTCCTTGGAGGTTTTATAATCCTTGTTTTTTCAGTATAGGGTAAATGGAAGGGTTAGAAAAAAGGATAACGTGATGGGCAATGTATTTTCATTACTACTGCTATGTGCAGTCAACAATCTGACATTGAGTGAGGAAAAAGTCATGCTGGGGCTCTGCAGAAGGGTCTGCATTAATTAATCTTCATTAGAATTCTTGCTGTGGCCTTGTAAATTAAAATGTATGTGTGTGGTTTGCAGCCCAGCATCCTTGATTACCTAAACAACAGTTCTCAAGGAACTGTTGTTTTCACCCCATCATTTCTCTGTTCTGGCAGACCAGCTTCCTTAAGGAAGGAGAGATTGAAATGGTATGAAGTCATGGAACGAAAGGGGCAGGAAACGATTGCTGTGGAGAGGAGGCGGAGGCGGTGGAGTTGCACACACTCATGCAGTCGTGCACCTTACAGAGAACCTTGAATGAGA